ACCAGCTTTAGACACTTCAGCTTCACAACAAAATACGAGTTGATATATCCTAACTTTGAAGGGTAATAATCAACGAAATATACTTAATACCAATCAATCAATGCTAGAGACTATCAAAAATCTTCAAGGGAGAGTGCATGGCCTTTGAGTATCAGATTTCACCAAAATAATTGATGATAATAAGAGTAATGTACCTATTCATAGCATAACTAGAAATACGCCTATAGAATTATTGATAATTCTCATGAAGGTATATCATTTAGCTTATTATATCATCATATCATTTTATTGTCAATTTAATCTATCTAAAAATTACAAGATTAAGAGAAGAAGTTAAACGATGGAAAGAGAAAACTCACTTTTAGAAAAATAGCATGGTATTATTATTAAGTAGATTAAAAGTATTTATGATAATATAGATCGTCTAAATATAAAAATGGAATGATTAAGAGCGAAAAATGAAGCTCTTATATTTGTTAATAAAGAACTTTTAAAATTTAAGGATGCGATAAAGCAGAATTTGATTGATACAAATTAGAATAACAATTAATTGATGAGGATAATGATACATTAGCTGATGATGATGATCATTTCTCTCAGCCAAGAAAAAGGGTAAAAGTTATATCAAAATTGAGAGGTAAAAATAAAACTTCATCAATCAAAGCCTAAGAATCAGATGATGAAACAGCGCGAGTTTATAATTTTATTTATTTTATTGTGATAATTTAAATTTTAATCTTTATCCAAATATATGTTCTTATAAAAGGCAGAAATAAAGGAGATATTAAAAACTTTACCAAAAAACTTCGAAATAAAATATGATTAAATATTTAATAGTTCAGACAACAAAAATATCTGGTAACAATTAGTATTAGAATTATTAAGATTATTACAACCTCAATACAACCCTTCGTATAATCAATTGAAAAAGTAGCTCTGTGTATTATATAAGTACTGAAGAGACAGTTATATGCTTAGCTAAAAAGGAACTCAAGATCGATTTAAAAAATGAGTATACAATAACAATCATATAGCAGAGGCATAAAATTCGTTAGTATTTATAATTTTAACATTTGTATTTAATATTTTCATATATATAGTAAAGAGATCAGCAAATAAGGGGTGCATAGGCTTTATTCAATGTGAAAAATCCTCAAGTTTCGAAGTATAATAAAGACAAAATTATAAAATTGCTCAAGATTTCAGAATATCATTCATCTGAGAAATCAGAAACAGATCAGGAAAATGATGAAGAAAATGTCAGATAGTCGTATATAATTATTCCTAGCGTTCAAATGAGGTTTAATAATTGTTATCATTCTTAGTGTATTAGCTTCCTCAAGTACTAATAATAATTCATTTAATTTTTAATTTTCTTCATATAATTTCAGTTTAAGAATCTTTTATGAAATGTTTTAAAAAGCATGCATTGTTACAACAATCAGCTTAGCTGACGAAACCTCAGATTTATGATGATATTCGTTTCTGCAAAATATACCACTGACAAAAAATGCACTAAGTCAGACTTGTAGGCAACAAGCATCTTTATAAGATGAAATTATACGACAAAGAGCTATTGGTGGTTATGATCATTTGCTTGATTATAGGACTGAAGAAGAATATATGTATAGTGAATCTTCAACAACCGGTATGATAAGAGGAGCGATTTTATAAAACAAACAAGACAAAGACATTCCAAAATGATAACATTCCATGATACAATAATATTACACAAGGTGATGATAATTATGATAACATTTCATTATATTTTACCGATAATGAAGATGTATAATTCTAGACAAACTTTTAATATTTTCACATATTTCTTTTTATATAATATTTGCTTTTTATGTAGGATTCTTATATAATATTTGCAGTCTTTGTATTTTTATGTATTATTTTTATATTTGCATTTTTATTAATAATAAAATTTTACAAAATTAAGTTAAAATACAACAAAAAATACAATTGAATTCATTTGAAATTCAACATAAAATTTCAGCTGATTTTTTATCTATATGTAATTAAAGATAATCAATGTTTATACCTGAATTATAGTTGTTTGTTATCCAAATCTCAAGTATAAATATAACTGAAAGATATAACTAAAGGTGTTAGTCAACTACCTAACATTTAAATAAAAAAGCTAACTTTAGGTCGAAATTAGACCTAAAACTGGCAATCCTAATTCTGGTTGAAATAGATCATTTCAACTAGTGATAGATTAACAGAATTAATTTCTATTCAAAAACATTTAATACTTAGACTTGAATTATTGTGTCAGATATTCAGTTGAAAGTTGACCACTAACAGAAATTTGTTAGAATTGTCATTTATTTAACTCTCGAATTTACAAATACTTTCATTATCATCTTTTAAAAAAAATGTATTAAAAGTCTTCAATATGCAACAATGCCAAAATTACAAATTTTATCTTTTGAATATAAATATTCTGACTATTTCTTAGAAACAATGGAAAGAATTTAAAAACTTGATCTTGACAAAAAATAGATGGTTTATTACATTTAGCTATAGCCAATTTTTGTACAAATTTAAGTTCGTTATGATTTATAAGTTTATATAGAAACTTGGATTCACTAAAAGTAATTTTAAATGGTTGTGAAAAATTAGAAAGCATTGATATTTGGAGAAGTGGTTATTGTGATAATGGTGTAAACTATATTAGAACGTGAATTATTAGAGATGATTGTAGAATTTTCACCTAAAAAGTTTCATGAGTTAAATGTAGATATGGGATGTTGTATAGATGAGGAAAGGGCATTTCAATGGGTATTCAAGTCTATCTTCAAATGCTGGGCGAATCGTGTGTCATGTATTCCACTTTCTTTGACTATTCATACGAATTTATATACGAAATTTCAATGAATGAAAGTAAGTAAATTGAAAAGTTTAAAAAGTTGGGTGTTATTAAAGAAATTAAAATCTTTAATGATGTTCCTGAATATATAAATATGCACCTGGTGGATTTATTGTGTTTGATTATTATATTTCAAATAAAAAACATTTTAAATATTATGATTGAAATCAATTTAATTAATTATAGGATTACTTATTAGATTTTATCTAATGTGCTGTACATTATTATAAAATGGTCGTCAGGTATACTTTATACGAGATAAGTAGTGTCGGATATAAATCATCAATAATAACAATAACTTTAATAAAGGCTTTTTTTTTGCATTCTGTGATGCTACTAAGGTCCCCAGTACTGTACGAAAAAAATGTTAATTTTCAAGCTCTGAAGTCGTTTTCTTGTATATATATGCACACCCAAAAAAAATTTCATGCGCTGTATCGTTGGTATTACGGTCAGCTCATGTCGTTGTATGAAATATAATATCATAATTGTTTCCGATCCTAATTTATGGGGATTTTTTATTCATCACCATCTTCCTTTTAGTAATTACTTTTTTTTAAAGGTCCTTGATTCTGAATTATTTTTTTTTGTTAAAAAGGGAAAAAAATACAATAATTTTAGATTTTCTTCAACAACCAAGAATTCCATTGAACTTCAAGGTTTTTAACGCATGTAATCGTGGCAATCTCAGATTTACCGGAGAACTTTTTTCTGACGTGTTTTTTTGCATAATTTCTTTAAACCTTAAATAAGCAATCGAAATACTTTCTAATAAATATGAAAGTGCTCTTTTTTATTAATTACATAATATTTAGGACGATTTTAAATGTTAAAAAATAATAAATCGTTTTCTTGGCGAGTGAGAAAGTTAAAAAAAATGTAGCGTCACAAGAACAACTTTGACGCATTCTTTATGACAAGGTCAGTTGAAGAACAAACATTTCATTATAATGGAAGAATGCTTTTGAAAAAAAAAAAAACCTATCTATCCTTCGTGATTTCAATAATTGGAATAATTTAGAGTATTAGGCCAGAGGATGAAAGGTTCAGTGCTAGAGTTAGGATTAGTTAGCATAGGATTAGTATGATGTATCACGCCATTCAATAAAATAATGCTTAGATTTTGATAAGCATTCCGACGGCACCAAAGCTTATACTATGATTATGTATTCTGAAATCAATGATGTTTATTTCAATCATTTTTTAATACATTGAAAGTAAAGGTTTTCTGGGATAAAGTTTGTGCGATTAAAGATCGCAAACAAAAAAATAAAATGAATTTTTTTGATGATTGCGCTTTCCAAAATTAAATTGTTTTTATTTATATTAAAATTATTATTATATTTTTTCGTTAGGATGATGATTTCTATCTGAAAAAAATTAATACATTTTTATCAATCAAATTTAAATAGTATGAGTTGTGCAATTACTAGCTTTATTGGTATTTAATGTATTTAATAATGGGATATGAAAAGAATTAGATTGTCGTGATGACTTATTATTCGATAGTTAACATTCAGAAATGTGGCACAAAGACAAAATAGTTCTGTAAAAAAATATATTTCGATAAAATATTTTATCATATCCAAAGTAGTATTGATTATACATTTGATTTAACGACTATTTCATGTTAATTCTCGGTCCAGAAAAAGTGATAAATAATTTTTATTAGCTTATCAGTCAATTTACATAAAATTCTAGAAGAATTAAAATTTCGATATAAGGAAATGATGTAATTGAATTTTCCAAATTAGCCTTTGTATATTTTTTACGTGATAAAGAATTTTACGGAAGGCACAATGTTGATTCCGATTAGACCACAATAGAGGTTGGAACCGGCCAAAAATTCTTTAACCGGTTAAAATTAACTTAGGCTATTACTATAAATTTGGCTGGAATTAGGCAATATTTTTTGCAATCAAAAAAAATCTTAATTTTGGCCGGAAATTGAATTTTGGCCGGAGTTAAATTCACCCATTTAACCGGTTAAAAAAAAAAATTATTAACGGTTAACATATTAAATCGCTTTAACCGGTAATTAACCGGATAAAAATTAACCGGTTCCGATCTCTAGACCACAATAAATCGAAAAGAAATAATCATCGTGAAGGAACTGTTCGTCCTATTCCTGAAAGAAAATAATAGGGTTTGTTTCTAATTTAGTATTCGCTAAGGGAGAAGAAGTCACTCCAGACAGGTGTTTCTCAGTTTTTGCAATTATGAAAATGCGAATCTTCACTACATTATTTAGGAGACTATCAGCATTACCACACACGGCTTGAAAGCTGCACACCCCGCATATTACTGTTCATTCACCTTACTAGAAACAAATAATAAGGAGTTAAAAAAACTAACTTTTTCGTTAAAAAGTTAATTGGTTTTTCTAAAAGGATGGTTTTTTTCTTATCTTCTTACAAATTTTTTTATTCTTTTATAAAAACATAATAATAAATAAATAAAAAAAAATATATATATATTAATTTCTGGCGTTGTCACATATTTGGGTTGTGATAAGGAGTCGAGCTCATTTTTTTTTAAAAAAAAAACTGTGAAAAAACAAGGTGAATCATTTTAATTTTTTTTAAGATAAAGACGAGGGTGAATTTTGGAGCGTCACTGAGACAATTCGAACATTTTATAACAATGTATTCTGAAAAGTACTTTATTTATTTATACGCGGCTATAAGTTGTCAAATGCATGATGTTGAAGAGGTTTCATAAATGACAAGTCCTTTGATGAATTTGTTCAATTTATAGAAACGCGTGATCCAAAATTAATTGGATATGATATGATATTATTTTATTCTACTAATCCAAAAGGCAAAAATTCTCGAACGAACACAAGAACTACTTTTAAAGTAAGTAATTGCACATTTGTAATCTAATAATGCTAAATTATAAATCTAGAACAAGTTTCTGTTTTGCTTGTTGATTGACATAGGAAACATTATATAAAACAGAGAAGGATCATGATCGAATAATCTAAAGTATTGCGCCAGCATTATCGGGTTGTTTCTTTTTAATTCATATTAAATTTATTAGTAAAAATGCATATATTGAAATTTTTTTTTTGTTACCTTTTTAAATATAAATACTGGCGATGCACTCAAAAATAAATTATTGTTATTAAATTTTTAAACCTTTTTAGGATCGAAAGGAGAAAATTCCATTCCTAAAAAAAAAGGAAACAATGTTGAAAAGGAAAAAAGGAATTTTCACAAATAGAAAGAAAGGGAAAGAACTTGTTACTTGACAACCAATAATGATTCCGATTCTCTAATATAAAATGAAAAATGATTTAGTAAGATAAATCCTGAAGTCTGAGATTATTTATTCATTCCCAAAATACGCTAAATTCAATTGCATATAAAGAATTCTAGCAAGGTAAAGACGTTAAATGACAAGAATATTTAACATTCGTTAATCTCAATTTATAAATAAATTAGAAATCACGTGATTAATTATCAATGTAATAAACAATTGATTGTTATCGTTATCGTTTTTTATATCGATAAAATTTTGCATGCTTCATCTAATGATGATCAATCGTTACCGTTACTGTTACTTCAACATATAGTGCTTTAGAATGCATTCTTGCAGTTGTTAAAATATAATTTAACTTTTTAAAATTTTTGTAATTCATTCCATTTATAGAATAATATTTTTAAATATATTTTATTTTTGAACTTGCGTTTCATTTTTGTTCTTTAATTCATTTCGAAACATTTTTTGCTTTTTATATTGAGTATGAAATAAAAACAAAAATATCGAAAAAAAAAAGTGATAAATGTTACCCGACGATCCATTACAGGAATGGGTTAGATCCTTTTTTTAAAATATCCGAAGAATAGGGTATTTATGGAAATTCATTAAGCCATTTTACAATATGGGAAAAATTTAAACCGAGGGCTGAACTGTC